GTCGCACCTTGTCGACACTAATCACATTGTAAACGTGACCGAAGCGTTCCGACCCCTGCATAAAGTTAAGACGGGTCTAGACACGTGCGGTTTCGCATTCTAGCCACAGCGGAGGCAGTTTTCATCCGTCTTCACACACCCTCTATGTGCTCAGAAACAATTTGTGCAAGCACTCAAGGTCCGATGACCGGATTGCCGACAAGTGACTTGTCATGAAACATCGGAGCAAGTGATAATTGAGGACCAATTATGAAACGAACTCTTGAATACGTTAATTACTTTCTCTTTTTTCCTTGCAAATCCTTCTCTGATACTAGTCATTTATTGTGTTGTAATGGCATGATTAAGACACTGAAAAGAAGCTTGTTTGCCAATTTGTGTTCTCATATTTCATTCCTTCAATATCACGATGTTTGATATGCTCTTTGCACCTTCAAAATGTTACTACAATATTGGGTTGGTCCAGTCCCCGAACCTCACACTGACTGGGGAACTATCAGTAGAGGAAGTAGACAAATTGTGCTATCTGGGCAGCTATATCTCACCCGGCGGACTCTTCACAGATGAAGCGCGCATACAAAATGCTCGGTTGGCGTTTCCCAACTTGAGACATTTGTGGAGCCATCGCGACATCGAGTTATCTGTGAAGGGTCGAGTATATGCTGCAGCACTTCGGCCAGTTCTGCTTTACGGTGCGGACACTTTGTCACTAGGGGAACCGGATAGAAATAGATTGTTGTTGTTAGAACACTCCTGTCTACGTCGCATCGCACGAGTCTGGTGTGGAAACCGGACGAGCAATGCTGAGGTTAAGCGTAGAATTTTAGGCAGTCGCGGTCGTCTACTAGACCAAGTGATTGACCTCCACAGATTACATTCGTTGGGCCATGTGTTAAGCATGTCACCTGATAGGTTTCCACGGCGAGCGATGTTTGTCGAGGCATTTAGTGGTTGGAATAAAGCCAAGGGTGGTCAAGCTAAGACCTGGCGTGAGGGTATGGAAGCCCTACCCAGGAGACTGAATCACACAGGTCCCGTTGGGTTCCCTGGCTGGGGACCCTGAGATCATAGTTACCGGTGGTTAGAAACACTGAGTGATCTGGCTGGGTGTTGTAAACAGTGGCGTTGGTCCATCTTCTCAATCTCCTTGCATCATTAGTCCACTGAACTTATCAATTTTCTCTTCAATTCTACTTCCAACCTTTCTGTTTTCCTCCTAATGTTCATCCAAATGGGCAGCCGAAAGACAGCAATCAAATGCGACGCACAGAAGTGCATACTTAATGGTCGTTTAAACTGAAACTGAAAACGCTGATGATTCGGGTTGATCGCCTTCAGAAGATACCATGCTAAATAATTTTATTAGTCCATGATTCGTTCATTGTTACATTATGAACCCATTATGCAGTGTTTAACATGTATCGTTTCGCGAAAGTTGTTTGTGATATATTTAATAATCCATTCACTGTGATGTCCTAAATGGAAGTCACTGTATCACCCGATTATGTTATGGTTGAGGGTTCTTTCTCTTTTATGCTTATTGCCTTTTATTGACTATACAACTACTCAATACTTGCTACTTGCATTTTGTCAAACCTATTAATGTGCTCACCTTCGGGCTACTTTACTTTAAATTTGTTTTTGCAATATTTTCCGATTCTTTAATACGAAGAACCGATTTCTCTTTTCCTTTTTCGCATTGTTGTAATAGGCTCAGGTATTTGCGGAAGCTCCTCGTCGGAACATCCATAGTTTCGAGGGCACTTTTGCGCGTACAGATGTCGCACCAATTGGAGATCAATCGGTGGAGTCCACCGAAGTCTCACTAAATTTGGACCATACGGCCTGGTCCAATACCGTGCTGGCCACTGGCAGTGCTGTTGGCCTGGTTATATACACCGGAGCCGAAACGCGAGCCGTGATGAACTCGAATCGTGTGCGCACGAAAATGGGAAAAATTGATCGAGAAATTAATAATATCATCAAATTGTTGTTCGCACTGGTAGTTGTTCTCGCATTCGTGATGGTCGCTTTGAAAGGGTTTTCCGGCGCTTGGTATAAATACTGGTGGCGCTTTATGGTACTGTTCTCCTACATCATTCCATTGGCGTGAGTCAAAAGGATAATTTTTCTCATTTTTGTTTCTCATAGTGTGCATGCACAGTTGAACTGTGTACTCTGTGTGTTGACCGTTGTGTGTCGATCGTTTCAGTGGGATCTCGCAAGGCTGCACAAACCACTGTCGAATAAGTTTGATCCGTCATACTTTGACGTTTGACGCCCTTCAGGGGAGACAAATATCCGTGAACAAAAAGTAGGATTTCAACCAGATTGCGATTGTATCGACCCAGTCTTCACACTGCCTCAAGTCCTCGACCTACGCCATATACACCGTCGACCAACGGTTGTCATGTTCCTTGATCTAAAAGGAGCCTTCGATTCAGTTGACTGTGAATCTCTCATGGATTTGTTTCTTCGCAAAGGAATGCTGCAGACGTATGTGAACATACTGCTTTCACTCTACTGGCATACTTGTAGTGTGAGTCTACGGCGAGCTGAGTAAATCGTTCATAACCAGCAGCGGTGTTCGTCAAGGGTGCCCTCTTTCGCCATTCCTGTTGAATTTCGTCTAGACGAGATATTAGAGAACGCGCCAAATGGTCTCCAAAATGTTGGTATTGAATGTGCAGCTGGTGAAAAGCTGTGCGATTTAGAGTACGCTGACAGCATCGTTTGGCTGTTCGAATCTATGGAGGATGCACAAAACGCACAGACTAGCTAGTTGTGTTACTCCGTTTGGCATGCGCTTTGCACCTTCAAAGTGATGTTGCAAAACTGGATGTCGCCAAGTCCCATTCTGAAACTAGATGGTCAAGATTTAGCTATTTGACTGCTTCTCGTACTTGGGTAGCTGCGTGATTAACGACTATAGTGCACCAAAATGAGATAACCACCCGCATGTCCAAGGCTCTAGCAGTGTACATGGGACTTAAGGACCTGTTGCATCGATTTGTCGTTTCACTGAGGTTGAAAAGTCGCATATACTGCGCCACTGTACGATTAGTTGTGCTTTACGGTTGTGAGACTTCGCATTTGTGATAAAGGACATCCGTCGCCTATTGGTTTTCGACAATCGATGTTTATATAGTCTGGTTCAGTTGGGATTGAATGAGTGGGTTAGTAGCCGCTGGGTGTTTGAGAATGCATCGGACAAGATCTCGCTATCTTATTGAATTTAGAAAGTAGGCTCTGCTGTTTAGGACATTCTACGTGTGTCCAACGGTCGCCTACTGCAGCGCACGTTATTTGTGTTGACCGCTCTGGACTGAGAAAATCACATGGAAGTTCAATACGCTCGGGTACAGTAATGAGAAAACCACCTACATGGTCAGTGGTTCCCGATACAAAAAGTCGTGTTTTGAACAGTTTTAGTGAAACTGCCCGAATTAGCTGGATTGGTTGGTGTGAGTTATCTTGCTCGATATACAAGGCAGTGCTTTGCTAGATAGGTAATATTATTTAGTCATTATTTCTGTATATAAACTGGTTTCTGTATACATCATGCATGCATACGATAAAGTTGTTGAAAACGGTTGATCTGTTCAGCGTCAAATTGTCTCAGATCATGCTGTACAATCTAATACTGAATGATGTTTAATCACACCTTAACTCGGCCGTATCACGTCGTTTATTCTCCGGTTAGCAGGGATAGGCTGGTTGAGGGGGCGCGACGGCTTTCAGTCATTTCGGTGCACATC